CTGGCGGCGACTCCCTGTGTCTCGGTGGCGTCGGCTGCGTTCCTCGTCAGGGTATTGCTGTTACTTTTTTTTTGAGTCCATGTAAACTGGAGAATATTTAAGAGTATCGACCGCCACTCAGTAATCACACTATCTTAATGAATATCCTGCTTGAGCTGCTGCTTGCAATTTTTCAATGAGAGATATATAGCGCACGGACTGAAACAGTTGTTCACCACTACTTGGCTTTTGAAAAATGACACAAGTTTTTTGTGTTCTCGTAGAGCCATAATACTGTTGTAGGAAGTAATAGGCAAAGCTTCCAAGCATAACAGGTGATCTTTACAGATTCGGTCGTACGTAGGTGGAGACAAGCAAAGCAGATATATGGCATCTCAAGGTATAACTTTTCACTGAATTATTGACTCGGTCGTGTGTCTATCTCCTGTGGTCTGTGTGGATCGAGGAACACGGATCCAACTCTTCTGCCTCCTTTTGCCTTTGGAGCATGGACGGATTCTAGTAGCTCCGCTTCACACATGACAAAAGACACGAATCCGGCCCACTTGCGCGCTGGGTTTCCTCGCAGCCACAGAACAGGAACAATGCGTCACAGGCTTGCAATTGCATAGCGCGAAACAAATAAAACAAAGCGACGGCATGCCTTTCCAATGGCCACAGCGCACGAAGGGTTAGGCCCCCTGCCCCCCCGCGGGAGACGTGTGGCCTGTGGTTGGCCGGCTAAGGCCAGCCCCAACGCGGTGACCTAGCTTGTAAGGAGTTTCTACAAGTCACTAGTGCTCCATGCAAAAGATGGTGATAGAAAGGGACTTGTGAGAGTAGGAGAAAGAAAAGGTAGTGGAATGGGTGCAAAGAAGTAAAAAAGCTAGCTGTGGTTTCCAATGTGAGTTTTGTCGTCTTGGAACTTTTAATCTACATGGAACTTTTTATCTAAGACAACCATGGATATATGCATGCATTGAGCGTGCTCTAATTGGACGCGCGCCGTGGCAACTAGCTAGAGAGCAAAACCTCCCCGACGTGACGTGCGCACCTGCACCGTCATTTGCTTGGTTGCGCTTTTGCCTTTGTTTTGGGATTGGTTTTTGGAGTTTGCATTGATTATTGATGCTAGTTAGTATACATATGTTTATCAGAAGGTGATAGATGAGTTGTTAAAATACAAGAAATGGTTTAGACCATTTGGTTGGGACGAGATCCATGGACATACAAATGTTTTGGTTGATTATTAACCAACAAATTGAGCTATGCATACCAAGAAACTATGCAAATTGTGATTAATTAGACTGGTGTAGTATTTTTGTTTCCATGCGTGACTTGAGACTTGATGAATAGCAAATTCTTAGTTGCCTACTCCATTTTGCAGTATTTAGGCCCTCCTCAGATTATAATAATCAGATTGCATAATCAAATTTTGATCCGAACAGAATTAACTAATAATTGCAAAGTTTTGTGTGTACGAGATTAGAATAACTTAAAAATAATGCTACTTTATTAATATTATATAATAATAATAAAACCTCTTGATTATCATAATCCCACATCCAGGTGAAACCAGCTGGTTACGGGGGATTATGGGTGCTGAAAGTCCAACTTGCCCTTAAATGATTGTCCAACTTGCCAAATTATGAAGGATAAAATAGGAATTTCTCACCTTAACCAACCATAGTCAATCACAATAATCCATCGACCCAAACACTCTGATTACCATAATCCACAATCCTAATTATAATAATCCTAGGCATAATCTAGATTATAATAGTCAATCCGTGATCCAAACAGACCCTGAGCTTTGAAATTAATCTCTCAAGAAATCTGGTAAATGACATGCTTGATATAGCATGTCTCAAGAAATTAATCTCTTAAGAAATATGAATCATACAAGGGCTTCATTTATATGTACTCCATTAATTCTAAATTATTGCAAGTCATTCTAGCTTTTCTAGAAAGCTATGTATCTAGACAAAGCTTAAATCTAGATACATAGCAATAACTATATACCTAGCAAAGTCTGAACGACTTACAATTTGAAATACAACGAGTATATTATTGTTTGGATGGTAGTGAAAATTCTCAGCCACATTTATGCGCAGCAAAAGATTTAAATATTTAACTACCCTGCGTACAAGGATACATATTAGACACAATCATTGCCTTACCCGTTGGAGAAGGTATTCTCTGATTGACAAAAGCCTCAATGCAAATAGTTATCCACCTCCTTTAGTCGTCTTTCTCAAGCAGTTCACAAAACTAGTCACAAGTCATCATTATTCACTAAACATTATCCCAAGTTCTTTGCAAAAGAGCCCTCTACCATTAAGTGAAAAAATGTCCTTTTTTTTCTTTATCAAATTTCTAGTGTCCCATCGAAAGCCTGATCTTGCTTTTTTCGCGATCGTGAGTAGGCACGTTTTTTCATTAAGCAGAAGTAGACTGTGACCATATAAAGTGCCATCTTGCTTTTTGTGTGGTGAAACCTCGCCTGGCTTCTTTCCTCCCAGTCCTTTTCCCTTCTTTGCCTCCTCTCCTAGGCCTTGGCCAGGTCTATTTTACTTAGTGGACCCTTAATTCAATCATTTATCTTGATATTGCATATGTTATTAAAAGAACCTTCGCCCGGTGAAAGCTCACATCAAAATTCAGCATAAAAGATTTCAGAAAAGCATAATGTGATTTCATTTCCTCTTTTTACATATGTGATATCACAGTTGTTATTTTCATTCCCCCACTCAAATGGCTATAGTATGAAGTCAAGATTACCAATTTGCAGGAGAAACTTGTCCGGGAAATAGGGAAAATGCGACAGTCGCTCTCAATGGAAGAGTACACACTCAAGGCAAAGGTGATTTCTTTTGGCTTCACCTCGTGGCTGCTGACTTATATATCACAGTCATGGTTTAATCGAAGGGGCAGAATCTATCTCTGATTTTTGGGTTAAAAGAGCTAGTCTATTGATCTGTGTTGCTGCACGGGCGGGGAAGTAATTTGGAGTCATAACCGTTAAAGAATCATGCATGAATATAAATTTGGGACACAAGCCCCACGACTAAAACTCCTTATCTAGATGCCAACACAAGATCTTTACTCATTCTGTAGGTACCCAGATGCCAACCTAAAAGACGAAGTGAAATAGGTCGCTCAAAACTTAGCCTAGTGCTCTACTTGGAACTTCGCTAGATAAACTAAAAGAGGTATAAGTTTAATCTAGTGTTCTCTACTTACCCAGACCCACTGAACGCGTCTCATCGTAGCATGTCTTGTTAAGATGGTAAGGCGTTTCTGTTTTTTAGTGGTCAGATGTTTCTATTGTTTAAGATTTATTATTTTCTTTCTCTTAGCATGTCTTGTTAGAAAATTAACTAGGAGCTCGAATGCCGTCTCAGTTGGGAGTTTCATGACAAAGTTACGAAAACTATCAGGTCAACTTTTATGTTGGTAACTGTGACAATGATCTAGATGAAACTCTATGAAACTATCGCTATCTTTCTGTTTTTATAATTAATCTGCAAACTCAGCAAATTTGCTGATGTGAAACGATATTAGATGAGAATGGAACTCATTTAAAACCCCATTGAGACTGGCCTAAAAGGAGTTTATATCTCATTTATTGTTTGGACCTCTATCCACGTGCTCTACGAATAACATCCAAAAGATGATGGGCATTATAGGGAGTGTTCGGCTGGCTGGTTGGCCGGCTTATTCGCACTGTTTCACACTTTACCTACAGTACTTTTCTCTCTTGCGCTGGCAGCAGCCACAGCCCGAACGGCTGGCTTACCCATCAATACATATATCCACCTTTTAGCTCCAGGATCCAAATAACACCTAGTTAATTGGTAGACCGCTAATAGGGAGCTAGCTAATATAAGTTGTGAAGGAGTATTAGCCACTACTATAGATATAATTTGTAGAGACGTTTTCTTCTTTTTAAATAGAGATGGCTCAATCTATGACCGTATCTAAAAATGGTTTTCGAAACGAGTCGTCTCTAGAAATGCATTTGTAGAGGCGGTGTTACATCTATGCATGGATCTCTCTCCAAAGTCCTAGAATAATAGGTGTCCGAGCTTCTGTTGTTTGTGTTCTTCCAAAAAGCACCTGATCTTCTAGCGTCGGCCGGCCGGTGTCTTGACATCTTGGGACGGCCGTGCGCCATTATTGATCTGTCCCGTGCTGGTCATGTACGGTAACAGATTGATGCATAGCAACAGCATTGCAGAGTGGTCCTATACTGCTGCTGTTGCACTAGTGCTTGTAGGTAGTATATACCAAATAGCTAGTGACTCTTTGCAAATAAGCTGATTCGAGTATTGTGGTACAAATGGTGATTTGTATCGGTGAATAATAATACCGCTATCTCACTAGATTCTTCTTCGATCTCCAAACAGAAAACCAGTAAAATAATACTTGTCCACGGAGGGAGAATGATGCCCAAGAAATAGTCAATCTCAGTAATTAAAGTAATTAAACACTGAAAGTCGCACTGTCTTGTTCTCATAATAACATGTTTGATTATAGTGGCGTGACAAGATCGACCACAACAACGACTCTGCCGTGGCGCAGCGCATCTGCAAGCTAGTGCCGCATCCACTTTAACTTTCCCCGTTTCCCTTCACTTTTTTTTTCCACTTCTACACAAGTACTCATGCTGCTCAATCGCTACACTGATAGCAAAAGTATATAGCAACATCGATCTTACATCTATCGTATAGGCAACTAGCATATAGCAAGCTTGAAGAATTTCTTTAAGGAAGCATACGCGGATCGATGATGGAATCAAGCTAATGGTATGGCATGCATGCTGCAGCGATCGATCATATCGATCCGGATAACTAATCGATAAGCCTAGCTGGGGCCTGGGGACGATGAGTAGTATAGATGGTCGCGCTTGTGGACAAGTGTGATCGGTCGATGATGAGCTTGCCGCTGGCCGGCTAGCTGAGGAAGCTGCTGGTAGTGGTAGGTAGCTAGGTGCAGGTGTAGCCTGCGTGGGCGCCTCGTCACGCCGCGGCCACCGTGCCACCGGCCTTGCCGGAGCCGGCGCGGCGGCCGTTGGCCTTCTTCGCCGCGCCCGCGCCCGCGTCCTTGATCGACGTCATGGCGCACTTGTCCTTCCACTCCTCCTGCGTGATGTGCTGCTCCCTGCACTCCAGGCTGCAGAACGCCGCCTCGCCCCTGCACAGCACGAGACGGTATAGGTGATGAGTGAGAAAAAAAAACAAAGAGAGTTTCAGGACGCGCAGATTCAAGAATAGCCATGCAAGCAAGAACCATGCCGGCGGGCAGGTGGCGAGCGAACACGTACTTGTACATGAAGGTGTCGCGGCCGGGCCCGAGGCGGCGCCGGCAGAGCCCGCAGGCGCGGAGGAATGCGGTGGTCTCGACGACAGAGTAGTCGGCCGAGTTGCGGCGGAGCCCCGCGCGCGCCGGCGCCGCGCGAGCGCGGTACGCCGCGAGCCAGTCCTCCTGCGCCGCGGCACCCCCGGCGCCGCCGCCGCCGGCGAACGCGGACAGCCAGTCCTGCTGCCCACCGGCCGCGCCACGGCTGCCGTTGCTGTTGTCGGGCAGCTGGGACTCCTCCTCGTCCTCCATCACCGCCGCGAGCGTGTCGGGCGGCGCGAACTCCGTCATGCTCGTGGTCCGACGCATCGGGTTCTTGCAGTCCCGCTCCCTCTTCCCCACCATCGTCTCCTTTGCTGGCTTTCTACCCCTCCCGCTCCAAGAAAAAGGAATCAACGTACGTGCCTCTCGCTCTCCTCTCACGTGCGACAACAAGACAGAGCTAGCTAACGCAAGGGTGCGGTCGTGATGCTGCGACGAGCACACGAAGAGGCGCCGGCCATGGAAGTGCAAGCACGAGCTCTCTCTGTCCCTCTCGTGCACTCGTGTGGTGTGGAGGACAGGAGAGGAGACGGGGGAATGGGTGTGCGCGCTTGTGCGGGAGGGAGGGGAGGGCCGGGACGGGGATAAAAGAAGGGGCGCGACGATCCGTGCCGTCGGATGCGGCTCGGTGGTCCGTCGGATCCACGTCAGCGCTGGCCCTCCAGCTCCCTGGGTCCTGGGGTCGCTTGTGTCATTTTGTTTAGTGTGTGGGGGCTCGCTCGGTCATTGCGGTTTTGTTATTTTCCTGGCGCTCGGTCGGGGAGCTGTCGCCGCTGCTGAATTTATTTCCCTGTCCACCTCACAGGTTTTTATTATCAACAGTCAGGTTCACTCGTTGATTTGGGTGCAGTGCTCCGGTTAACTTGGCTTCATTGTGCGATTGCGAGTTTTCCTGAAGGAAAATAATATGTTCTTGTTTTAGAGAAATTGGAGAAAAAGAATAGTGCCATATAAGAACACGTTCGTGCTTGATAGCTGGGTCTGGCGTGGGGTTCTCTGTGGAGCCTGTGGTGTGGGGCTGCATGTGTTTCTTTCACTTTGGACGTTCGGTAGTACTGCTCCAAATATTCGAAATTATAGTTTCTTATTAAATTTGTTTTAAGTTATGTTTTTCTATCTTTAATCCTTCATATGAAATGCATCAACATCTATAATATCCTTTTATTTTAAAATTCTACTTGTAATATGTTATGATATTGTATTTTATTTGAACATGTAAATGTTAATATTTTAAAGAAGCTTGGTCAAATTTATTGAAGTTTAACTTAAGACGAAACTAAAGTAATCAATAGTTTGAAACTGATGGGGCAGATAGCATGACTACTTTTTTTTCCAAGCAAATTGCTCAATGATGAGCAAATTCTTTGTGAGTATATCTCATGAATTCTTTGAGGTAAAGTCACATATATTGAATTTTTGTTGCATACAGAGTTACAATGTTCTCCTCTCCCTTTTTATGCTTCAATGTGCATGATTAGTGTCAGCCCGTTCGCGCTGCCAGTATCTTTTGGTCTAAAAATCATAAGGATAGGACTAAAAGTAGTGTGCTGATTTTCTTTATATATTTGCAAGCTATAAGAGTAGATGAGGGATGATCAAGGTTTTAAATTGCAGGCTATGAACATTTAGCGGTAGCCTCCTCCAAAAGTTATAACAGGATGTTGCGGGAGCTATTTCATTTAGCGGTTCTGCAGAAAACATGAATATTCTTAATTTATTATGTAGGAAAACATGTGGTTAACAAAACTTTGTGAATAAAATACTCAAATATACATGTATAAGGATCTAGGAAACAGATTTTTAGGTCCATTACTGAACATTCATTAAAACAATCAACATATTCACAGCTATAATCACTATATCAATTCCTTCAGTGCTCAAAATCAATCAATTCAAAAGTTATGCAATAGTTCATTACATCATTTATTAATTAAAGATCACAACAAAGATGCATATATTATTGTCGGGTATCGATATTAGGGATACCTAAAGTAAGAAAGTTATTAAAAGGTCTCGCCCGACCCCAAGGCCGCGGGCTCCGTCTCGCCCGACCCCAAGGACGCAAGTTCCGTCTCACCCAAGGCCGTGGGCTCCATCTCGCCCGACCCCTTGGGTGCGGGCTCCGTCTCGCCTGACCCCTTGGGTGCGGGTTCCGTCTCGCCCGACCCCAAGGCCGCGGGCTCGTCTGCCCGACCTCGAGGTGCGGGCTTCGTCTCGCCCAACACCAAGGACATGGGTTCTGTCTTGCCCATGGTCGCGTGCTCCGTCTCACCCGTCCTCGAGGACGCGGGTTCCGCCTCGTCCGACGAGGACGCATACCACCGCCAACCACTCTAGGTCCAAGCGTATGGGCCGGAGTCAAAACTCTGACGCCAGGGAAGAAGGCTGCACGCCTCGATGTAACCCGTGGCCATGATGGGCCATACTTGGGGATTCACATTAAGAATAGTGTCGGGCGTGCCGGTACTGTTCTGCCTAACCCTCGTACGGACGCTGATAGGCGCGTTAGTTCACCACGACATTCGCCAGGACAGAGTGGAACGCCATGACCGGCAGATGACGCCTGTGCATGGCGCCAGTGACAAACAGAGCCACGACATGGAGCCATCCCTGTTGACATCTACAGGATCGGTGGGATCCGCATGAAGTAGAAGAAGGACCCAGTGACCCTGAAAGCCTTCTTCTCTCTCGTTCCTTTTCCTCCGATGTAACCCACGCTTTCCCTTCACCTATAAAAGGGGAAGCAGGGTGCCCCATGAAAGGGGGATCGCACTTGAGATCTTGACACAAGAGCACGATACGAGCGCATGGCTGAGCGGCAAGCGAGCTCTCAGCACCCGTTCAGTCGTTCCGCCAGAGACTTGGGATCCTCTCCCTCTCTCGCCCGTTTATAACCCCTACTACAAACCAAGTGCCGGTAACACGAGCAGCAACAAACTGGACGTAGGGATGTTCCGCTCGAACCAGTATAAACCCTTGTGTCCTCCGAGCACACCATCCGAGCCAAACGTGTAAATACAAATTTACTCGTTGGTGGTCCAAAAACACCGACAGTTGGCGCGCCAGGTAGGGGCTTTTTGCGCGTCTCGACGTCCACATGAGGCCTCGGATGGCTAGTCATGGCGTCAGCTGGGTCCCAGGCGCGCGTGCGCGTGCGCTTCGGGAACCTAGACTTCATCGTTACGATGGAGGGAGAGTTGGCGGAGGTTCCCGCCGCCGTCTAGCCTCTCCACTCCGCTAGCCTCGACGCGATTGCTGAAGCGCTTGAGGAGCTGCAGCTGCACGCACCAGAGGCCCATGCCTCCAGGAGTGACCAACTCCTCGGCTTCGATTACGGGAGGCTAGAGCGCCAGCTCGGCGCCTTCTTGGGACCCTGACCGTCCTAGGAGGACCTGCGTCATCTCACCTTCTCATTTGCCAATGTCATGACGCAGCTTGTCGGAGGAGAGCCGCTCTCCCTAGAATACCTCATCTGGAGCGCCCCAACAGCGCTCCCATTTGGTCTGCGCAACGCCGCAGAGACCGTTGGTCACCTTGTGGCGCAACGCACGCCCCCATCCCCTACGAACGATGAGTTTGTGGGGATGACCGAATACATCATGAAATCTTTCCACAACCTTCTCGTGGGAGAATCAGAGTCACCCGTCCGACTCTGACTCCAGCAGGGGGAACCATCACCCCTCGTGAGAATGTTTCATGGCAGGTACCCCCGAGGGATACATCGAAAGCATCCACGGGGGAGAGCCTACCCCAACAGATGACCTCGACGATGAGGTCGAGGGGGATGCAGGGGCCCCACCTCACCTGTGGGCAGAGCAACTGAGGGCGCGGCACCAAGAGCTCAAAGAAGCATGAATCCAGCTCAAGCAGGAATGCGCGGAGCTCGAGCGAGAGATCGAGCGCCATGGAGACGGTGGGCGTGCGCTCGCTGTGGCCCGTGACGTGAACCGAAGGATCATCGAGGTCTGCGAAGCCCTCCCACACTTCACCCCAGCAAGCTAGAACATCGCTGCCGTGGTGACCTTGCTCCAAGGGCTTCCGGAGCCCGCGACACTAGAGGATCATCGGGCCCATCGCGAGATTCGCACGCTACTCGAGCGTGCGGTGGTGCTGCAGGCCGAAAGCTCGCTATCCCGACGACGTGAGCTCGACGCCAGCTAGCACGCGCCCTCAGAGCAACCCGACAGGGATGTGTCAGTCCACCAGACATAGCAAGGTGGCAGGCCGCACGCCGCGGCCCCGGTGCATGAGCGTCTTGGCCTCCACCGTGACGCGCGCAATACCCTGGATGCCTGCAGGCGTGCCAGCAGCGATGAGAGAGAGGAGGCTAGCCACGGCTACCACCCTCGTCGTGGCAGACGCTACGACAGCGATGAGGACCGAAGCCTAAGCCCTGACTTGCCGGGACCTCAGGCCTTTGGCCGACACATCCTCAACGCCGTCTTCCCACCGTGGTACCGACCGCCGACCAACATTCCGAAATACTCTGGGGAAACAAACCCTGGACTGCGGCTTAAGGATTATCGGCTTGCTTGCCAAGCCGGTGGAGCGGATAGTGACAATTCCATTATCTGCAATCTTCCATTATTCCTGGCCGATTCGGCGCGAACGTGGTTGGAACACCTTCCGCCCAACCGAATCCAAAGTTGGGTGGACCTAAAAGAGATCTTTGTGGGAAACTTCTAGGGAACATACACGGGTCCTAGGAACCCATGGGATCTCAAAAATTGCCGATAGAAGTCTAGGGGAACTCTTTGTTGGTACATCCAGCGCTTCTCCCAGTAGTGCAACGAGCTGCCCAACGTCGCCGACGTCGATGTCATAGGAGCTTTCCTGCCTGGGACCACCTACGAGCCCCTGGTTCACAAGCTGGGATGTAAGGGCCTGAGAACCACAAAGGAGCTCCTCGACATCGCCACCAGCCATGCCTTGGGTGAGGAGGCGTCGGGGCGATTTTCGACCACCCTAAGGGCAAGGCAAAAGTGGGACGAGGACGTCGACGAAGGCGCCTCCAACCACCCCAACAAGAAGAAGAACAAGAAGCGGCGCGAGGGATCACTCATGGCCACTGTCGACTGCAAGGGGGGTCGGAAGGCCACCGAGGGTACCCCGGACCACTTCGAGAAGCTGCTAGTAGGGCCATGCCCGAACCATGCTTTCCCCGTTAAGCACCTATACAAGGACTACGTCCTCATGAAATGGTTGTTGTCCGGAGGCTCCAACAAGGGGGAGCACAAGAAGGAACCCAAGCCAGCCGCGGACGACGCCGAGGGGAAGGATGGCGTATTTCTGGCGCTGGATGG